TTGAATCAGTGTTTTTGGTCTGTGATGGACCAATCTTCAGTTTTCTATGTTGAATGATTCAAACCAAAGAGAAAGAAGACAGACAGAATTAGGCCAAAGCAAAAACTGAGTACACTGGAAAATGATGTTTATTTTCATAAACAGTAATTATCATGACATAAATGACAGCAATAAAAGTATTGGGATGACCTAACTTAGTGTGGTAACTACTCCACTATCCCAATTGTTTAACTGTTATTTGAATATTTAATTTAAAAAAAACCTTAAGACACAAGAACTGTACCATAATATTTCTTTATAAAAATCTACAAGAGTATATTATTCAGGTGATTTTCTAGAATAGATTTAAATTTTAAATTTAAGTTTAAATTTTTCCTCCTAGTTTTAGTGAGCTTTTTCACTGCTGTTACCAAAAGACCTAACAATTTTCGAGGAGGAAAAGTTTATTTGGTGTTCACAGTTTCAGAGGTCTCAGTCCGAAGATGTTCAACTACATTGCTCTGGGTCAGAGATGAGGAAGAACATCATGGCAGAAGGGAAAAGTGTGTCAAAACATGGCAACAGAAAGCAGAGAAAAAGAGCTCCCCTCCCCATGACAACATACTAAGCTCAAAGGCCATGCCCTCAGTGACCCATCTCCTTCAGTCACACCCTAGCTGCCTACAGTCACCACCCAGTTACTCTTGTAACCAGATCATTTCACCTCTAAATGCATTGTCTAGCATTGTCTTATACACATGAGCTTTCGTGGGACACCTCATATCTAAACCATAATACTCCTATTACTGAAGGCTTTTATTTATAGGGTTATTTATTATATTTTCCTTAAGCCATCAGAACTGCCTCTCTTCTCTTCAATTTCCCAATGGCTTGGAGTCAGGGAGCCAGGGATAAGGAGAAAGTTGACTTCTGTTATCTGTTCTCAGTGCCATATCTAAAAGTCTTCTTTCACTTTAATGCAAGCTACACACAATGCAGAGAAGGCCTTCATTCACAGTAGCCCTTATTCATTGTTAGTCCTCCAACAGCCAACACTGGCCAGTCAGTCTTATTATGTGTAAAGTCCAGACTGCTGCTTCTGGGGAAGAAGAGTACATTTGAAAAAGCTTTCCCTGATGGCAGGGCTTTATTTCCTCACACCATCATTTAAAAACCTTTTAAACAGCAGACTGGGTCTCGGATGGTAATGCCTTGCCTAGCAATTAGTGGTGAAGGTGCTGGACTTTAAAAGGCTTTTAAATTATGTTATGAAAGGTCCATCTACAATGGCTTTCATTATTCAGGGTAAAGTCTATATTCTCCGCCCATTGCTGAGGCACAACTACTAAGCTCTTCGTAGACAGTCACTCCGAAAGATTGACAGTTGGAAATTTGCAAGACACAAGATTTTCAGTATTATGTGGCTGCAAAATGAAACCCAATTTCATATGGAAATTGTCATTTTTTCCCCCTTTTTCCTTTGAGTGGACTAACGAGCAAACTTCAAAAGTTCTTTAGATTTGATTCAGGCTTATCTGAAGTGTATCCAAGGGCGTATATATCCATAAGACTTTGAACAGAAGAAAAGAAAGAAAGAAAGAAACAGGATCTTTTTCTTCATTAATAGGCCCAAAGTCTGGAAACCTCAGAATGGATCCAAATGAGGTCCATATACTAAGATGACTAAAAAAGACTGGTTCTAACCCTGAGCTGACCCAATACATGAATAAATTGAAGGATAACTTGAACTCTCTACCCAAGAGTGGAAGCAGCAAAAAAATGAATAGCTAGTTCCTAAGCAAAAGTAACCAATTTTGTGGATTGCTCAAATTCCCAGTCACCCAGGAAGAGGTTCCCCACTTCAGGAATACTGATAGAAGTGCTGGTTCAACATCAGGCATCTGGGAAGGGTAACAGGGTGGGTTCCAAACTTGACCAGTTCTTTACACATCTCATTTTCTCCAGTGGCATCTTCACCGTGCTATTTGGAAGAATAAGTAAGCCATGTTCTGAGTAATTGACAATGTTAAAAGTAGATGTGGAAACTGGCTTTGCAGTCTAAATGCAATGCCATGAATTCTCTTTAATTTGTTAATGGCTGTGAATTTAGTTGCAATGAGAAAAGCAACATGGCCAGACTGGGGCTGACTTCAGAAAGAATATTAAAATACCCGAAGGCTCCAGGCTGGCAGGAATCTAGAGTTGTTTTGTTGTTGTTTGTTTTGTTTCGTTTTCCTTTTAGAGAATCAACCACAAAATCTGATGTTTTCATCAGGCACCAGACTTTTGAAATCAAACCCAAGTGTGGTCATCATTCTCCTTCAGTCAGAAGACCTGGGACCTTCAGCCCGGGGGTCATCAGCTCCTCCAACTAAGGCACACTTTCCTCTCTGATTGGTTTATTTCAGGAGAACTCTCAGAGGTCAGACTGACTTTATAGATCTGCCTGTGAGAAATAGAAATTTTGTTGGTTCATTTTTAGAATACGGTTTTTAGCCTTAAACATAAAATCACTGAAGATTCAAGAAAATCACCTGAAGAGGAAACGTCACAAAAGTTTACCAGCAGTTAATATCTGAGTGTGACAGATTTATAGCCCCTTGTCAAACAGAAGGTGATGGGGGAAGGGGTAAGCCTAACCAAAAAAAGAACTTGGTAAGTATCAAAATGCATTGAATACCAGATGTGCTTTCCAGCCACAGAGAACAAAGTGAGGAGGGAACAACTAAAGGTATGGGTTTTTTTTTTTTTTAATAACCCAAAAAGGAGACACTAAAACCTAGGCAATGTTCAAGAGGACTGTGTATCCCATAGTACTCAGCCAATAAGGAACAGAGGGAGAGACCCTGCACTCAGGGAAGAAATGCTGATTGTAACTGCCTCTGGAGGTGCCTGCTTCCCTAGACACCCCTTCACACAAGACCATCATTAAAGTAGAGCCCTGCTTTCTGTGTATCTTTGACTTACAATCCATGAATCCATTCTTTGGGTTTGGACAAGTGAGAATGTTTCTCACAATGCCCACGAATTTCTGAGTTTTATTTGTCATGTTGAGGGCCAAGTTCACACTCGTGAATAACATTTGAGGGAAAAATAAAATTTCCCTGAATCAGAAGTCCTGAAGGATTATTTTTTCTGCATTCATTACTGGCTTATTGGTTACTTTGATATTTTCTGGAATTCTCGTTTTCAATTTTCACTTATGAGGAGATCAAAATTATTACTATGCTCTTATTTCCTACTAATATAATTTTGATAATGTACTCTTGTACAATTGGGGAAACATCTTAGAGAAAGAAAATATAATTTTTTTCGCAAAAGAAATGGGTAATAAGTCTGACAATGAGATCCCTATAGTCGTTTTTCCTGTCCTTGTCACCTGTAATACATATGCACATTTGACACTCTCCTATCATGGCTTTTCAATAAATTTCTAAATAAAATAAATATGAAAATATCTTAATAATTTGAACAATAATGTCATAAAGTCAATCATTTCTATTATTCCCAGGATAATTTTACTTAATTGCTTAACTTCTGTATGGCTCTGGTATCAGAGCCTAAGAAGGATCTGCCTCTTGTTCTTGGAGGCTTTTGTATCAAAGATAGGAAGGACTCTGGGTCAGTTTCCCAGGAGACTAAGACACTAAGACAAAAAAAAAATACCAGAATGAACTTACATCTTCTAAGGAACCATGGCAGTGCAGTGACAGGGATACTTTAAATTTCCTTGAAAAAAAAAATTTTCTATTCCCTTTTTCTCTTAATGAAAATGAAATATTGTTACAAGGCTTATATCCATTACTCAAAACCAGACTCATATTTCTGATTGAAAGAAAGTAGACTATGGAGCACTGGATCTAAAGTCAGTAGACCTGGATTTTGGTATTGAGATAAGACATAAATTATTCATCCTGTTATTTGTGTATGTCTTAAATAAGCCACTCAAATTTTTCTTGCCTGAGTTTTATTATTTGTAAACTCAACAATGCTTTATTCCATACTACTCTCAAGGATTTTTTAAAATGTATTTTAAAATGATAATGTATGAAGAATTCAAGTGGCACACATGTAACAGAAAACTAAAAAATATATGATGCTTACAAAGTGAAAAATGTATAAAGTATTAAATTCATTCTATTTATACTTATTGTCATGATTAATCAATTGTTAATTTGAGCAAGATATTATACCTTGGAGATATATATATATATATATATATATATATATATAGAGAGAGAGAGAGAGAGAGAGAGAGAGAGAGAGATTTTTTGACAGATACTAGGTTTCTGTTTTTAAATTAAAAAAAAACATTTCAAAAACTTTTGAAAAGTGAAGAATATTCTTTTTGATTCTTTAAGGCCTCTGTCTCTAATAAAAGAACATGCTCAAATTATATCATTGTAATAGAACTACTAACATAATCTATTTTCAGAATTTAATCATTTTACTTTCTCAAACTTGATTACAGTCAGTGTTGATTATACTTGCTAGGGAAGCTTTCCCCACAGCAAGTGACCTGACTGTATTATTAAGACTATATCTTCTTTAAGTTCTCTTTTGTTTGTTTGTTTTTTGTTTGTTTGGTATTGGGTATTGAACCCAGGGGTGTCACATCCCCAGACCTTTTTATTTTATAACAGGGTCTCACTAAGTTGCTTAGGGCGTTGCAAAGTTTCTGAGGCTGGCTTGGAACTTATGATCATCTTGCCTCAGCCTCTCAAGCTGCTGGGATTATAGGCATGCATCACCATCTTTTACTTCTTTAAGGAGATAAACACTTACTGGAAAATAACTGGTAGTTTTAAGATAACTCCAGCATTGCCTTTTATAAATTGTTCACCCCATTGAGGACCACATGGGAGTTATTATAGCAGCATCTCTATTGGGATTCATTTAACACATACATGTAGAAAGAGTCTCAAATATGATAATAAACAAAAGAAATATCATTTAGAAAATAGAAGAATTCCGTATTCAAATGCCTTTACTTATGTCTCACAGAAAGTTTTACGGCCTACCTTGAATTTGACCTCCCAGATTAAATGACAGTATTTCTTCAGCTCATCTGTTTCCTAGGATGTCACATTGAGATCTCCAAAAACAGTTGTTTCTTGGCAGGTGCTGCTCCGGAAGGTGCTCACTCACCATGGCAGGAGCACAGTCCTGAGACAATATGACAGCAAAGGTGATGTCCAAGGAGAGCACATTGTAAAGTTACTTCATTTCCTCAGATATAAGAATGAGAAACAAAAACTACATGCAGATAAATCAGAAGAGCAAAGGAATACTAAGTTCCCCTAATCTAAAAGTTTGGACAATCCTATGTTGGGTTTTGTAACTGCTGCTTTACCTCCAAACAAATGCAATAAACCAAATGCTACTAAGATTTCAGTATCCACCCTATTTGATTCTGAGCAGCATAATTGAATAATATGGTGTCTTTTGCTTCCTCAGTGTACTACTTACACTCTTCTTTAAAAAGACATCATCTCTTGCAAGTTGCTAAGCATAGTCATTATTATTCTCTAAAATATTCAGCAGTTGCTTGTGTCACTGCACAAACATCCCTGGAGAAGATGCTATAAGCAAAGCATTGCAAAAGGCACAGTCTGTGCTTCATTAAACAAAACACATTTTCAAAATATAATTTGAAATATTTCATAACTCTGAAGTGCTTATTGTATGCCTTTTCCTTTCTTTTTTTTTAATCCAGATATAATCCTGTCTTAGTCAGCTTTTCATTGCTCTTATCAAAATAAGCAAAAAATAACAACTTAAGAGGAGGAACAGTTTATTCCAAGTTCACACTTTCAGGGGTCTCAGTCCCTAGATGGCTGACTTCACTGTTCTGGGCCCAAGAGGAAGTACCACATGGCGGGGGAGGATTCAGCAGAGGAAAGCTTCTCAACTCCTGGTGGGGTCAGGAAGCAGAGAGAGAGAGGGGAAGGTGCCTCCTCTCTCATGCACAGGGAAAGTGCACCCTTCTAGGACATGTCTCCAGTGACCCCCTCTTTAGCCAAGACCCAACTGCCTACAGTTAACACCAGTCCATTCAAACTAAGCTGGATTGATTAGAATATAGCTCTCATAATCAAATCATTTTACCTCTGCATATTCCTGCATTAATAGGAGGCTTGGAGGGACACCTCATATTCAAACCACAGCTACCTCTTCTATGTTCTTACCAAAATCCTGCAGATTTTGTGCAAACTGATTCTTAAAATGTGAGATCACTAGAGTTGGAGCAAGAACACTTTTACAATAACCCTGACGTTGTCCCTTCAAAACTGCTCCAAATGCTAGAGGCGCTGGCCTGTCTCGGGAGGCATCTAGCAATAAACTACTTCTCTAAGCAAAGATTCAGAAAGGGATGAAGGATCTAGCATATGTTCAGTCCCAGGACCACAGGGAGGAGGATTGTGCCAGTATGTTTTCTGAGAAACAGAGCATTTCTTACTAGGAACAATGGGGTTGTTCAGGATTTGTTTCAGAGGTGGCAAAAAATACACAGAAACTTTCAAGGGACCATCTCTGATATGTAACCATCACAGAAACTTTCCTGAGATGATTAATCACAAAACTCCAGTGAAGTTAACTAATGTAAAACCACTTAGGGAGTTCTGTCATGGATTAGACTGTACATATGCACCACTCATCACAAAAATATCAAAGATCAGCACTACTTCAACCTTTGGCAGATGCATTAGTCTAAACCCACCAAAATATATACAAGGGGGCTAGATGTATTTACCTAAACCCTAAGTCTAGACAAAGGATCAGATAGTTACAGCCTGCAGTCCCGTCTGGCCTGCTTCCAGGTTTGAAACTAGAATGTTATGGAAATAGAGTCATGTCCAGTCATTTATATTGTCCATGCTGCTTCTTTGCTATAACAACAGTAGTGAGTAGTTGGGGCAGCTTGCAAGCCTTAAAATAAGTACTATTTGGAAATATACAGAAAATGTTTGTTAAACCTCTGAGGCAATCTCTCAGGGAAAATTCATTATCAGAACATGAGAAGGAGCAACTGAATATGTTAATAGAATGGGCAACTATCCCAAAGGGAGAGGTTGAATACCCATATATCCTCACTACTGTCAACTTCCTAAATGTTTGGAGAAAAAAATTAGTATTGCCATGTTACATTGCTTAAGAAGGGTCTCACTAAATGATTTTGCACATAAACTCAATTTTCATTTTATATTATCCCCATTCACCAATAATTATTATGTAAAAACTATTATATTTGGGTTCTGTAACTATGGAGATGGCAGAATGGAGATCCTCAATGAACTACAATATAAATACCTACATAAATGTTCTAGAGACTGTAAAAGAGTACCTTTTGGATCTAAGCTGGTTGTTGCAGCTGTAGTAGCACTGGTTAACTACAGAGGGTAGGGATAACACAGAGACAGAAACACAACAGGCAAATTTGGCATAGAAAAAACTGTGGAACAGAAAAATAAGTCTGAACTTAGATGAAGCTGCAGCTACAGCTACACAGTTAGTTAGCTAGTGTGTGAAAAGTGCTCTGTGTTTCTCAACTGCAAGCAGAGAGCTCAGGCAGGAAAACATCTTGAGAAGACACACACTGCAGTTTGCTGCTATTGGAGCCCAGGAGAACATAACAAATATTGCCATTCTGTTCCGGCCGGTATCCTATCATGTGGCCAAAGGTGTACCTCGCAGAACATGTTTGAAATAGGCATCAAGAAGTATGTACACAGGGGATTCAAGTCAGAGATACAGAGGGAATGCAACTGGCTTTCCCCTTGAGCCTGGTGTTTCACATGACTAGCTATAAAATGGAGGCACGATTACTCTCAGTGAGGAAGCCTGTGTTTTAGTCAGTGATGGATTATTATGATCAGAAGATCCATAAGCACAGCATAGAGGAGGAAACCTTTATTTGGGGCTCCAGTTTCAGAGTACTCAGGCCATTGATGGCCAAGTCCCTTGCTCCTGGCCCAAGGGAAGGCAAAAACTTCATGTCGGGAGGAGTTGGAAGAGGAAAGCAGCACAGGGCATGGCAACAAGGAAGCAGAGAGACCTTTGCTTACTGGGAACAAAACATAAGTCCCAAAGACATACCTCCTCCAGTCACATGCTGTGTGCCTACAGTTACCACCCAGTCAATTGATAGCAGTGAATTCATTCACTAATTAGGTTAAGACTCTCAACCCAATCATTTTACCTCTGAAAATTCTTGCATTGTCTCTCATACATGAGCTTTGGGAGGATAAAATATATCCAAAAATAATAGCCTTGGGAGGATGTATTCATGGGAAGTAGTATGTGGGAGACGTGTGAAGGATTGGCTCCCCTTCCCAAAGAGAGTTTTGGTGAGGTTTCTGAGGTCCAGACTCCTAACAGAGATTGACACCTATCCAGTCCTAGGGGTGTGTTAATCTAATATTTCCAAAGAAGACACCACCCAACAAAGTCCCAAATGCCTTATTAGAGCTAAACTCCAACTGCCAGAGTTCCCCAATTACCAATTCTGTAGCAGCACCACCCTGGGAGTGCATTAATCTGGTCTGTCCAGACAACTCCAATTGACAGTGCTTCCCATTCTGTCCTACCCTATGCTGGTACAAAGGAAAGTTGAAAGCTATTTCAATCAGCTTCTGTTTTAGACTACTCCTATTGGCACCTCGGTGAACAACACAAAAGAGGAAAGATTTAACAATCTCCAGCTCTCTCTATCAATGCAATACAAAGCCCAAGAAGAAATAAAAAGAAAGACAGTTGGACATAGGCAGAGATCATCCATCCTCAAAAGATTTGACAATTCTTTCATTTTTCATTAAAAATTTTTCCTCTTAGTTTTTTGTTGTTGTTGTTGTTGTTGTTGTTTGTTTGCTTGCTTGCTTCCTTATTTCTTTGCATTTTGGTGAGGAGGATTATTTTTATTGTGCTGACTCTTTTGTGGAGATATACACACATACACACATGTTTGTTTTTTCTCATTTTTAATGATTATGATTTATTTTACTTTTTTTGTTTTTTATCACTTTATCTGTGGTGTTAATGTTTCTATTTTCCAGGAGTGTTTCTCAATTCTATCTTCCAACCTGGTGTCCCTTTCCAGGTACATTTTTCTCCTCTGAATATTCAGTTTTACATCTCATCCTGCTCCTCTTTCATAAGTATAATTGTTTTTATATCTTTGGTGTTTTTAAATTTTAATTTGTTATATATGACAGCAGAATGCATTACAATTCATATTACATATATAGAGCACAATTCTTCATATCTTTGATTACATACAAAGTATATTCACACCATTCATGTCTTCATACATATACTTAGGATAATGATGTCCATCTCATTCCACCATCTTTTCTACCAGCCTGCCCTTTGTCTTCTATTTTGAGGGTTGGGGGGTTGTTTATTTTTGTTTTCTTTTTGTTTGTTTCTTTTTCTCTTCTTTATTCTCCCTCTAATAAACAAATTTCCTTATTCTCTCTCTGTTCATAACATTTTATCTTCCTTCTTTATAGCCTTTACTTCCTACATCTCTTCTGCTTTCTCTTCAATAACATTTTGAACATTTAATACATTTATAACTTCATATCAAATTTTATTTTTTAATAAACTATATTATTGACATCTTTTAGAACTATTTGACCTATAAAATTTTCTGACCCCACCTATCATATTGTTGCAATACTTTGCACTTTGGGGGACACAGTTAACAGCTGCTATTTACTTAAGTTCTAGGTCTAGTTCACAGTTATTTATTATTTTTGCTGTTGGCAATTGCTGAGCTTGCTATTCCTGTTTTGTGGTAATTAATATTTTGCATGTGATAGTAAGCACCAGGCATTTATTTTAATGCTGTATATTGTTTGCTATTACTACTGTTATTTGTTTCCCTCTTTTTTGTGAATTGCTGAGCGTCTACTAGGACATTACCAATTCACAGGATATAGACTTCACTGCTGAACTAAACCCAGTCACACAAAGTAACCATGCACAAACTTAAGCAATACTCTATACAAAGAATATAGGAAACAAAAAGCCATATGACCGGATTCCAAGCAGGAATGACTGGGAAGACCCTCAAGTTCCAAACATGGGCAGCAACTCCTACATCAAAAATAGAATTAACAGAAAGACACCTATGAGACATCTCAATCTAGATCATTTATATACCCCTTTAGAATAGACAGAATCATTAAGTGAAGAAAAGCAATCATAGAGGGTTTATCCACATACTCTTCTCTAT